ATATGCGTGTTACACTCATAAAAATATGCAGACAACTGGCCAGGTTAATTAAACTATAACAGCGTATAAAAAGGTGTGTCCCACAATTTTTGTGAAATTTTGGATATTCTAAACAGTCTGTCAATCATATGTTCAATCAGTAATACCTATAAGTCTTGGCTATAGTTGTGACCCGAAACCCGAAACCTTTCCGAAACCTTAAATTAGAATGTTAAAAATTAATTCTCATTTGCTATAAAGTAACTAAAATACTCTTGGAATGCAATCTAATTATCGTATACTTTAAGTTTTAAAGTTTAAATCTAAATTTCTAAGATTTTCAGTATAGTGTTCAAGTTTCGGAAAAGGTTTCGGGTTTCGATTTCGGTTCCGGGAATTTATATATAGTTTCGGGTTTCGGGTCACAACTATAGTCTTGGCTGTAGATCCCTGTAATAATTCATGTAATTCAATTTAAACAATGTAACGTAACGCATAATTATTCAATAAAGACCGAGGCCAGGCCTCACTCTTAAAAAAAAAAAAAAAAAAAAAGTAATTCTTATATTATAATGTTAATTGAATTCTAATTTCTCGCGATCTTACATGACATAATTTGCAGAGGTTACACCTTTTTGCAAACTGCAATAAAGAAATTTCAATTCTGTGTACCGATTATATGCATTATTTTATGTAATACTATACGTACAACTTAAATTAATTTAAAGTCTATTTTGTACTAAAAATCTTTCACAAACATTAATTAGAATCGATCATGTTCGTTAATTTGATTCTCGTTTTACTTATTATAGCATGTGTGGGAGATGCCTATTATTCACCAGAGGGATTACCACTTAGGTCGAATACCGCAAACTTTGTTATCGGTGATAGGATATTTTATACTGGAGGAGGCGTTACAACTGATCTATTCTATCTTGAACTTGGTCAGGGACCATTCAAACTTACGGATCCACCTTTTTACCTTATAAGAACAGATATGCCAAACTTATACGCAGAGTTTTATGGAAATGCTGTAGTAATTGATCAAACAGCTTTTATATTTATGACAAATGATAAAGTGGGTAGTCATTAAATATAATGTACAAATGGGGTTTTTTTTAATTAATATTGATTTCTTTTATCATTATGAACGATAGTATAATTTTATCAAAATTAGCATCAGCCCAAACCCAGTGTCTTATGCACTAATAAAACGTAACGAAACACAAAATTCTAATCTTTCTCCCGGCCGGGGAAGACCCCGGACTGTAGTGGATAAAAATGGATTGATATACATGTGGTTTACTCCTGATAAATATTCTAGTATTGATAATGCGGATGAAAATTTATATATATTTGACTCGGTTAAATATAGTTGGTAAGAAATTTGGTTAACAGTGACTTGCGAAAATTAATGATGTATGATTGCTTGAACAATTCTATTGTGCAGGTCCACAGTCAAGCCTCCAATGCTCGTTATAGAGCCATATACTGCTGCAATTTTATCTGATGGCCGTATTATTTTTACTACGAGTTATTCCAGCGTAAGTACTTATATTATTTGTATTATATTCAACATCTGCAGTAAATCTGAAATTAAATGTCTGTGAATAATCGAATGCGGCACAAGGAACAATTGATTCATATCTGCTTTTGCAAAAAGTTATCAACAGTAATTTTGGACAATTATTGCTGTTTTCGATTTAGTTGGGTTGATTAATTTTATGGTTTTGAGTCACATGAGTAGAGATGGGCATATGCACAGCCTGCAATTTATA